GTCTACTGTGGTGACCTATTGTGAATAATGGAGCAGCTGAAAGAAGCTAGAACAATGCAAAAGTTATTGCTTTTTACTCCCTATACTTCATTAAATACTGTTTCAATGTTAAAATTAAAATTGAGTCAGGGTAAAGCCTGGGGCCCTTAGTTATGATGTTATGATCAGTGAAGGTCCTTATAAAGATAGCTAAATATGGCCTTGTGTGTATGTATATGCCTCAACACACACAGAGAGTGGAGCAGGCGGCAGCCACACAGGGGAAACAGTGGTAAGAGAGTACTTTTAGCCAAAATATGGGAAGTATTCATCCAAATGATGTCAGACTTGGCATCATACTTAGTCAAGTCCCCAGCAACACACTCACCAAGCTTGAACTGGGTTGGATAAACAGTTGTCAAAATAGGCAAAGAAAAAAGAAAAGAGAGACATAATTCTCGAATTATTATTAGTAACATTACAAATGGGTTTGTTCGGCATTTTTTTCTATTATTTTCTTGTGGCTGGTTAGGAGGGGGCAGGAGAATACAGTATATGAAACACTATAATGTGTTCTAGCCTGCATGCACTTGCATATGAAGTCTGCTTGTGTTCTCAGATGCTCAACCTTCTTCTTATTGCTTCTCTTTACTAAGCTGGATATTGCTTAACGCTGTTTCTGCAGACAAGCACTTGCACTCTGTTGGCAACAAATCCATCTCCAGTGTAGGAAGTATAGTGGGTGCTGCAAAAACATCAGATAAATGACTACTGAGGCCTGGTTTAGATGTGGCAGACTGCACCATTTTCCCATATGCTTAACTGGGTTAGATTTTTTTCTTCTTCTTTCCGCCTTTGATGTTCTTCTTTCTTTTGTCAGTTATGCAGAGTTCCATAAAAGAAGCGCAAACAATAAGGTTTTTTCCTTCTGTGCTTTTTTTTCTTTTCTTTTTTGGTCACTATATTCTTGTTTCCAGGTTATTGTAAGGCTTTTGTGCTAAAAAAGAAAAGAAAAGAAAAAAGGGAACCCCCACCCTCACAAAAGAAAACGCAGTTTACTCAGGAGGAGTGGGTCACACGGTGGGAGGGGGGAATTTGGAGTAAGGGGAGATATGGCAGTTACAGGTGGGGAATTGGCAATACTTATATATGGTAGGGTTGAGGTGACATTTAACAAACGTGGGACTGCAAGGTTTGTGCGTGGGGAGATTGGTAGGCTGATGCGGTTTCCTGGAAATACCCCAACATGCAAACGCTCTTGTAAAACCGTTCTGACAAGCAGGCAAGAAGTGTTTCACTTGAGGTTTCTCATGAGTGTGGTGCAGCAGACCTTTCTATTCATACGCAGTATGAATAAATATAGTGAGGCAAATTTAGTTGCAGATTACAAATAGCCTATTTTTATTGCCAGACTTCATTGAATAGCTTATCCTGACAGAGAGATGACTTAGGCAAAAAGTATATTAACAAGTTTGCAATTAGGAAAATGTATGCAAGTGCACACACAAATACATAAATCAATCAAAATGTTACTTACCAGACCCAGTAAATTCTTAAAATTCTTATTTAGATAAGGACCAACACATGACTAAATGCTATACAGCTCCAGTCTGCTAGGCTTGATTAACCTGTCAAGTTGGCCTGGGGCAAAAATGTGCTGTTGTGTACCTTTTAACGCTGCAGCAACAACATCGTCTTCAGTTTAATTAAATTCAGTTTTATTTAAGGCATTACATTTATTAATTTAGAGCTGCATGGTGGTTAGCAGTGTTGCTTCATAGCAAGAACGTCCTGAGTTTGACTCCACCATTTGGCCGAGGCCCTTCTGTTTGGAGTTTGCATGTTGTCCCTGTGCGTGCATCGGGTTTCTCTGGGTACTCCGGCTTTCTGCCACATTCCAGAGACACGCAGTTAGTGGGGTTAGGTTAACTGGTGATTCTAACTTGCCCACAGGTGTGAACGTGAGTGCAAATAGTTCTCTGTCTCTCTGTGTTATCTCTGTGTTAGACTATCCCTGCTGTGTCAGTCTGGCGACTTGTCCAGGGTGGACCCTGCCTCTCGCCCTAAGGTAGCTGGGACCAGTGAGACGAGCAGACCAGGGATATGGCTCTTCAGAAACAGAGGCATCTGCTAAAGAGGTGTGAATTTATGTCATTCCGAATAAAGAAAACCACTGCGTCACTGGTTATGTGTCTAAAACCCGCAGTGCTAAAATAGACAAGCATTCAAATTTGTACTTTTTTAATCTATCCACCAGTGGATAGATTAATCTATAAGAAAGCACCACTTTTTTATAAGGTAATCATACCTGTAGAACGAAATAATCCTAATCAGCCAAGTAACTTGTAACTACAACTATCCAATATAGATAGTGGAACGAAATGGCACTCTGTGCGGTAGTGAAAAAGGCGAGTCATTACCAGAACTTCCTTAAAAAGGCAGTGAAAGAGGAGCTTTCGTGCACTTGGAAGTTTGGTGACCTTCTAGTTGTAGCCTCTTTATCAAGCCGTTACAAACTCTCAAATATGTAACCACAAGGATTATACAAGAAAAGTTTTCATCTTGACGTTTGTGGTATTTCGCAAGACTGCAAAACGCCCTGATTTACACAGGAAAAAAACAGCTGCCCATACTTTGTGTTTAAGCTGTCATCAATAAAATAAGAATGAAAATGTCAAACCAAGATCGCTGCACAATGTCTGTTCATGAATGAATCTGACTCACTGCCTCTTCTTTTGAAAACTGACATGTCGCAAAACTCAAAAGTACAGCTGAAGCTCATTCGACAGGAAGTTATCTGCTGTTGTGCAATAGGAAGAGGGTGTATCCATGGTTACCTTTGTCTGACCCTTTTGTAACAGCAGCAAACAAAACACGCCCATTCACCCTAACAGTATCACATAAACACCCACCAACTGAGGTTTTTGTTTTTTGGCCCATTTAAAACTCTCAAGTACTGTAAAATTCCTGGAAACCGAGGCGGGATTCAGATTCGGGTTATAGAGTGAGGTGAAATACTCAGAACACAGTTTGTTTGACTGATTATCAATGCCATTCTCAGGCTCTTCACATAAACCATTAAAATTATTATTTAAGTAGTATATAAAGTACAATTTGTACATGCCACATGAAGTATGATCTAACCCTGTTTATTTGGCATTCATAAGCTGAAAAAAAAGCCACAGATAAGGGAACACTTAAAGTGTTTGCTCATTCATTTGTTAACTATGTATGGTATTTAACCCTGGAGAACCCATGGGGTCAAATTTGACCCCATGGTTTCCCTAGTAAACCAATGGGGTCGGATCTGACCCCATGGGTTCTCCAGGGTTAAAAGTAAATTAATAAGTTACCAATAAAATATCACAGGTGTAAAATTCACAGTATATACAGAGAGGTGTCAGTATCAGAATTGTCCTTCATATAAATGTGCTTTGTCCTAACCAGCCTGATTAATGGTAGCTTAAAATAAATGTTTCTAACTGAAAGCTAGATTTGCTCATTCAGATTTCCTCTGTGCTTTCAGCCACATCTCATGACTGTCATTCGTGAACAGACTTAAACATGTTACTGTAAATATTCAAGTAAGTTTTGATTACCAGTAAAAATATAAAACAAACACATACATGTGCTGTATTTACATTTCCTGTTATTAAAATGCTTAATGTGTTATAGCTGTGTTACATTTCACCCCCAATTACCTCATACATGACAAATGCAGTAAAGGATATCTAAAAATGATCTCATTTTGGTTTACAGCTATATTAGAGTCCTTCATAAGCTACTTATTTTCATATAGGAAGTAAAAGTGTTACAGATGTACATCTGTGAAATTTCCACAGTTTCATAACCCAAAGTCCTGTGTTATAAAAGTAATTCTGAGTAATCCAACAGGCGGTCTCACAGTTATTAATCTTTCTAATCTAGGATCTCTAATCCTATCATTGTGTGTAAGTATGTGTATGCTTGTAGGAGTGCTCAACAGTGCGTCACTGGACTGTCTAGATGCCAATAATAAAAGAAGTGAAACCGATGGGCTACAGATCACAGCAAAACACCATGCAACAGGTCACTAACCTTGCAGTTTCAGGTCTCTTAACTTTCCCTAAGGTGATTTTAGCTGAACAAAATAAACTGCATTTAACTATTTTGGTTGTTTATATTTTCATCTACATCATAGTCTCCACTGCAGCAGTAATTTCCCCCACAGAGATGATTAAGCGTTTTATTTTATGACATCTAACAAGGGAGTTGTCTTAACATCACAACATATACTTAGTCACGTTTATATTTCTTTCTAAAAGAGCAATAAGGGATTTTTGCACTGATAGACAGCTCTAAAATGTTTGCATAACTGAGGCAGTTGTGGTTCAGGAGACAGAGTCGGTCGTCTGTCAACTGGAATATCATATGTGTAAACTGGTTTGAATCTCGGCCTCCAGTCTACATATTCAGTATCCTGGGCAAGATAGTGAACCCTAAGTTACCCCTAGTTCATCCACTAAATTGCGAGTGTGCCAATGTTGTGTTAAAAGTCCTTAGGTGTAGAAAAAAAGGAACTTATATGAATATGTGTGTGAATGAGGCTTCTAGTAAGAAAGTGCTATAAAGATACCAAACCATTTAAAACAAAACTCCCTATAATTACTGAGAAAATACATGAATGGACAATAAGAAATAAAGGTATACTACTTTAAAATATGGAGTATTACTTGTATTTGGTGTTTATAAATACCAAGGAAGGTAGTTTAACATTAAGTGTTGCCTACTGGCGTCGATTAAAACATTTCTGTAATCTCACAACTGGGTTTAGGGAATTAAAAAAACAAAAAACAAAAAACGTTTCGTCTTTAAGCGCTCGCATTTGTAGCATGACTACAAAAAACAACTACAATTCCCATCAGCTACGTGTGTTTACGGAAGCCTGACCCGTAAGCTAATGGTTGCCTCGTTTTGCTTTTAGGGTACAAGCTGATGTGATTTCTCGCAGGGGCGGTGACGTAAAATCTAAAAATTCACTAGTTAAAGGGAACGGTTCTCGGGCGATACTGGTTAATGAACTAAGCACACCTCCATTGGGATTTGACGACCGTTACGTCGTGCTGGATGTGATGGTTGTTGCTTTGATTGTTGTACGTAGCCTAGCATGTTTCCTTAGTTAACAGTGCGATTTAACGACGATTAAACATCCATGAAACCGACAGACTCGGATGAAGATGAAGCAGAGCACCCAAGCTCCATGCAGAAGGAGCTGAGGCGTATGTTAATGTTTTGTCGTGCTACGTTTGCTAACCTGTTTGAATGGGCAGCTCAAGAGAGCGTCGTTGGATGGTTAGTTAGCACATAGTAAGATGAAACTGACTTGGTGTATTAAATTTATGCCGCCAGAGCCCAATAGAGCATTATCTCTATAGGTATGTTACCGAAAAGAACTATTATTGGTGGAAAAGTACAGGTGACAGGCACATGACTGCCACCTGTTGCTGCTGGGGCAGCAGATGAGGACACTTCACAGAACATAAGTGTCAATGCAATCTTAGACCAAAAGAAAACACAAGCTGACAATAAAATGAAGCTTCAGATTCTGAATCCAGGCGCTCAAAGTGCAGCTAAAAAGGAGACATCATGATCTCATGTGAACCGGACCAGGGAAACTGCCCTTGCTGCCAGTGTACAGAAGTTTAACTACATATTTAATCCCCGAGATTTGTTAGCATGACTCTTTGGGCTGAAAGTCAAAGAACTAAATGTGTAAAATTGCAGAAATCTAAATTTTAATTACTTTGGTGTAGTATGAATGACCATGGAGGAGGTCTTTATCAGTATGAAAACTTGTGAAAATACAATTAAAAGTCCAAGATTTCTGTTCTCCTTCTCCTTTCCAAAGCCATTTAGTGGGCCAGTTTGAAGCCTTTGCTGGGCCGATTCTGGACCCCGGGCCTTATGATTGGCACCACAGCTCTAAAGCTTTCATTTTAGGATGCATTGCCTGCCCTAAGCAAAATAAAAGCTTTGCATTATTTGGCTTCTGATTGGCTAAAATAAATGGGTGAAATTGAGATTGTACAGCTTAGTTTTTGTGCAAGTGCCACCTGCTTACCTTCGTGAACACAACACTGGTGGTGTATTTGTTTGCTGTATAGACATGACTTCTTTGGTTGTCTGTGCATTTCATCAAATAAATGATATACTATGTTACACTGGCATCTATGTGTATGCTGAATTCAGAGCGGGCCAACCAAAGCATCCAGCATCTGAGCAGTGCTCCGCTGCAGCTGGACCCTGATGGAGATGAGGTGGAGGAGGTCAGAGGTGGTGATGAAGACCATTATACAACCATGGCCGAAGAGGACAAGGCTGCATGGAACCAAAAGTCACAGAGTGAAGCAGGTGACTGATTGAATACATAGAAAGTTGATTCTGTTCACTTGTAAGCATTTCATTGGAAGAAACCTTACACCAACCAAGTAACTTTTTCTGCTGACTGCAGGCTTTCTCAACCTTATAAACAGTTGGTTGCATAATGACAGAAATTGGCGCAACTGACTAACAATGTGCAATGAGCTCAGTCCCGTGATTGTTAATATGCCAACTGTCATGACCACTGATCAGTGAGGAGTGGCTAAAGCATTGCAAGATTGTGAAAGATGTACTCTTAGGCCCCCTCCAGTGTTAAAAAATGGTCACCTCTCTTTTTACATAACCAAGTGTTCCTACCAGCCTGGGATGCAAACTTCCTCAACATTGAAAGATTGGGCAGTACCCTGTAGGTATAATTACATGCAGTCTTGGCTTGACAAACTGAATATTCTGTGTTGTCCCGTCTGCCAGTGGTTGTTTGGGTTCTCTGATAATGTATAATTTACTGCAGTCGTCTTGGCAGCTGCATGTACTGTATTACTGTGTCTGTTCTGGGGCACCCGATCATTGAGGTGGACCACTTTTTGATGGATCATCTTTTGGTGTTTCAAACCACAGAGACATGGTGTTTTGAAAAAAGAAAAATGCATCTCAGCTGTTCTGATACTCCCGAAACATAAGAGATCAGATTGTTTCCTTAGGCAGCAGTTGTCCTTCTTCTCTCCTGGATCGCTCATAGCATTCTTCCCATCTTTGACTAACCAACCTGTGATAACCACATTTTAATAAGGAGCTCTTTGATTTGACGTTCTTTTGCTTCCCTGGCTGCTGTGTCCGTGGGGATGGTGTTTGCTCTAAAAAGAACCACAAGGCTGGGAAACGTGCAGTCAGCTGAGACCGAAGAAGTTACTTGGATGAGTACCGGTAATGAAATGTTTCTGATTAGTTGTAAGTCGGTTATGTGATAAAACTCAGCCCTTACAGTGGGGTATCGTGAGATTTCCCCTCTCAGTCTTTTTACACAAAGTTTAAATAAAGTGTTTATGTGTTTGTGTACATACTTATTTCTTATGTCTTTTGTAGTTAATCAGCTGAAGAGCCTTCTGCTGAAGCAGGGCAGAGAAATTCCCAAACCTGTCTCCCCTTCCAAGAAACAGTCTCCATCCAAGGTAGAATGAGCAGTTGTGCATGGTTTAACATTTAAATGCGTTAGATCTGACGAAGGCCTGTTACAGAACTGATACTCAGATTAGGAGCAATTCTCCTTACTTGAATGTACCATGGTTTTATAGTTCACTAAAATGAAAGAAAAAACGAAAAGTAAGTGTGAAAACTAAGTGAAATAAACTAAAAATAAACAGGAAAGGCCCTCAGTTTTAGTTTTTGTCATTCTAGCAAGCATCAGGAAGCCTTGTAAATTTGTTAAAATTTGTCACAGACTCACTTTCTAATAATAAAAAAGTAAAATTAAAAAAAATGTGCTAAAAGTGAAATGTGCAAAGCCGCTTTGAAAACAAATGAAAGCTAAACTGAAATAAAATGGAATTAAAACTGACTTCACTTGCGGCTCTTCTGTGTTTTGGCTTTTATTTTTTACTCTTCTTTCCCTTTTGCATGGCAGGAGGGGATGTCCAGTTTACCTGCCTTTCAGGATTTGGTTCCTGTATTTCACAAGTCAGAATACATCCAACATCTGGAAGCCGAGGTTAAATTCTGTAAGGTCTGTGTGCACAAATGTACGTGTGTGTGTGCGCGTCCTTCATTCCCAGTGTGCTAATGTGAACGGATGTTAATCGGCTTCTCTGTTTGTGTGACTTCAGGAGGAGCTGCAGGGAATGAAACAGCGGATCAGAGTAGTGGTGGTGGAAAATGAGAAGTTACGTTCAGAACTGAAAGCCGAAGCTGTGGATGAATCCCTAAAAGATTACACGATCCGAAACTCCACGGTAATTTGTGCGTGTGTGAAAATCATTGGTTTGATTTTTGTGTGTGTGAAAATGGTAATGCATGTAACAATGAAGGCACGTATAGTACAAACATAATAAAGACTGAGGTTACCTTATGGCTCAGTCACACTTAAATAAAAATAGGACGGTCATTTCTTTGCTGCTTTGACACTCCAGCTTTGACAACAGCGACTGAGGCTTGAGGATGGAATGAGATTGCAAGCCCTTTGCATTAATCGTAGTCATGCTATGGTCTCCAAACGCTGTTTTCTTATTATATTGTGACTGTTGCATTAGTCATTTTTCTCTGGACACTTTCAGTAGAGAGACACTAGAATATAAAGTTAACGTAGCAAAGTTTTTATAGTTCAACAGGCTGAATTTAAGCATCATAAAAGCATCTTTCAAATTAAAGATTTGGTCACCCGTTCCAATTTTTTTCCTCAGATGAATGAAGTCATCGACAACAGCCACGTAGCCTCCATTCGAGACCACAGTGTGCTACAGAAAGAAGAACACAACACATGGAAAAATGAGCTGGTAGGAAAGATGAGTCTCTACTGGTTGCCGTTCGGTTCTCTTTTACCTCAGTGTTCATCACATTTTATGCGTCACAATAATGCACAATGGTCCCAGATTGTATTTTAACTCATTCACGGCTGGCAGTGAATGAGTTAAACCCATTGACTCATTCACTGCAATTGACGGCTATAGACGTCAATGGCAGTGAATGAGTTAAGATTTGTCTTTTTGCTAATTTCCTCCAATAAAACTTTAACAGTAGAAACATGAATTCTGTTTTTTAGTACATTTATATAGGAAGCTGTTGCAATAAATTTAATTTCATCCAGTTAGATTCAGATGTTTGTGCTCATCAGGAAAAACTGAAGGTGATCTACCAGGCCCAGATGGAAAGCTTGGAGGCCCAGGTCATCTCTCTCAGGTTAGTTCTTTGCGGCATCAAACGAGCAGAAACTCATCTGGGTCATTCCTTGAAGAAAAGGTCAGTTCCTCCCACTGACGCCCTCAGAGTCTGCAGATTGTTTTTTGTTTAGTCACTTTAGTATTTTAATGATACCCTGGAAAAAATGTTTATTTTGTACTAAATATTTTCCAAGTTAAAAGTGCAGAGGAGTTGGTTAAAAACAAAATGCTCATTTTTTCAAGTTATTGTCTTCTTGTTTTTTTTTGAGCTCAACATAAAATGTTCAGGGCTGAGAAAGACATTTATGCTCTATTTAAAACTGCAACCAGATCAAGTGGACACCCACTCAGTGTCACAGTGCAAAACACAAAACGTTTTTGTTCAGCATGAGTTTTTCAATAACCAACTTTGAGCATCAACATATAGTTTCAATAACCAAACTATTATTTGCTGTCAATGACGCGGTGTCACAGAAACGTTCTGACCTGAATTTTTTTTTATCTGTCTTCTGGTAATTCACTGGAGAAAAATGTAAAAAGTCCATTTCTTGTAGGTTGGTCAAAATAAGTCATAGCTTACCTACATTTTTATACCAAGCCCATCTCTGATCCCCTCCGTTTCAAAACCTTAGTCATTTTTAACCCTAGCAAATGTACCTTATGTCTGTAAAAATCAGTTATCTTTAATTCTTTTTAGAACACTTTTCCTTCTCTGATATTTTCAGAAAGGATCTGTCAGTCAGTCAGAAGGAGTGCGAGGAGGTGAAGCTTCGCCTGAGACACAGGGAGAAGCAGGCCGCAGATGCACTGAAGGCTGATGGAGCTCCTCGTGTGGCAGGATTGTGCCTGAAGTGTGCACAGCACGAAGCTGTGTTGGCTGGGACTCACACAAACCTGCATGTCCAGGCTATTGACAGACTCACAAAGTCAGTGGTAACAAATGCTTCCTGCAGAATCAATCAGACGTTAGCAGCAGCATACTGACTGCGTAAACCATAGCATTAGTTTAGACTTAGCTAAGTGTACCATCCAGATTCTGCTTTTAATTCCTTTCTGTCTGATTTTTCTCAGAGAGCGTGATGAGTTACTGGTGGCTCTGCGTGCTGTGAGGACCAGTCAGCAAGAGACACAACAGAGGGAGTGGTCAGCCTGTCTCCAGGTCAAACAGGCTGTGGAGATGGCGGAGGAAGCAAACCTGCAGAAAGCTAGGGTCAGAGAAACATCCTCACACACAACTTTCCAGCTGACCGCCATCTTTGCTTAATACAGTTAATATTTAGAATGCATTGCATTTGTTAATGCTCAGATTGACCTATTTATAAGCTACACACACTGTATACATATACAGTACAAGCTTATGGGAATACCACTATCATATACGTCCACTAGAGGGTGTTCAAACATTGCCTTGAAATTAAGGACATATTCAGCTTTCATATGTTCTTCAACCTCGGTGTTGACTCACAACATCATTTTTTTTTCTTTGTTCTAGTACAGCTGGTTATTACTCTGTTAACCCTTCTGTTTTTGTACACATGCAGGTGGAGGTGCAGTGCGAGCAGTTGTCCAGGGAGCTGGCTCGACAGAGAGAACAGCTCGACCGAGACGCACACGGTTTGCAGCAGAGACTGGCTGAGGCCAGAGAGGAGGGCCGAGCAGAGGCCCGCAAACAAAAAGAGGAGCTGACGAATATAGTTAGTCTTACTTTTCATGTACATGATTATTAGTCGCAGAATTGGGAAATTCACAGAAGAAGTGGATTACAGAAGAATGAGTCTGTTCATTTGCCTGTAAAATACTGTAACTAACTATATTAACAGACAAATTTAAAAAAATACTCTTTTAATGAAACATTAAGTAGTAAAAAGTAGGAAATTGAATCATTGCTTTTTGCTTTTGCAGTAGCTATTGTATATTTCTTGTACTTAGAGTTTATGTCTGTTATGTTTTGTAATGATACCTTAAAAAAATGTTTGTATTTGCAGGACATTTTACTTGAATTCTGAGTGAAATGGCCACTGAAATGGTGTACTGTGTTTGTCTGTCAGGTGTCTGGCCTTTCCCAGCGTGTCGCTGAGTTGGAAGGACAGCTAGACAGAGCTCTCAGAGACAAGAGTTCACTGACCAGTCAGCTGGAGGACACTCTCCGCACACTTACCAGCCAGGAACAAGAAAACACAAAGGTATCGGATGCTGTTTGCGCAAGAAAACTTTGTGTCAGTATGTCTTCTTATTTCTTATTGATGGCATGATGAGCATTTCAAATAAGCATGAGCCAGGGTTTGTCTTTAGAAGTGTGGGACTGAAAAAACAAAAAGCTCTTTTGTTGTTGTTTAAAAAAGTAGAACTATTAATTTTAAGGACCCACATGCTTCACTATCTGCTTGCATTTAATTTCTAAATCCACTGGATGGCAGCAAAAGATAATCTATTCCAACTTTATATTCAGTTTTTGAACACGTAAATGCAAGAGCATATTTTTCTTTCATTAATATTTGTATTTATTTTGAACAATTCAAAAACACAAACAAAAACAAAAAGAAACCAAATGAATCGAAAGAAAAAGCGAACAGCAATCTGCTCCTCTCAATCGACACATGGCAACCCACAGGCTGAAAAAGACTTCAGAAAAAGACAAACAAAGTGTGTGGGTTCACACAAAATTCAACCCTCATATCATTTTACAAATCTTAAAAAAATAAAACTTAGTTTACAACAAACAGCCAGATTCAAATCTTTCTAATAATTCAAAGAGATTCTCAAAACTTTTCAAATGCATCTTATTTGTGTTTGTTTCTTAATCCTTCTAGGGGAGGATTGGAGATTAAACATCACAGTGCTTTTATATTTTTGGTGAAAGACTGAATTAGTAGGTGCTTTTAGGGATGATGAAATGTGAAACTAGTCAAATACACGAGTGTAAAAACATTGAGCCTGGGAACGAGACAGTCTGATGATTTAGATGGGTGATTTTCAAAGTAAGGACATGATAGGATAATAAAAAGAAAATCAATAAATGATGAAGCATTGAATGTGACATACTTGTTAATTAAAAGACCGCCTTTGTTTAATGAGGACTATTCATCTATAGGTATGTGTGGATCTGAGATATCAGCTCAGCCAGGCCGCGCTGAAGAAACAGGAGGCTGAACGAGAGCTCAGAGAGCTCAACGCCAAGACCAGCAGACAGATGGAAAAGGCAGCACAGGTATGTGCCGATGTATTGATTAGTTAGGATTTATTTGATATTTGTTTAAGTCGGCTACTGACCCAGTATCTTGTAGAGTTGATTGTTTCATAAATAGTCTTTATTTTTCTTTTTTTGAGGGTCTGCAATGAAGCATAGCAAGCAAAATGAATATTAAAACTCAAATTTTCCAAATTATTCTCAAGTTATTTGCACAAGCATCAATTATCCAAACTGTTAAAGGAACAGTTCACACCAAAATCAAATTTGCATACTTTTCCTTCAGCCTTTAGTGATATTAAGTGATAGAGATTGTTTTGGTGTGAACTTTTCCACTGTAGAAATGACAACCTTCTTTTGAATATAATACAGCAAAATGACATTTTCCTTGTGGTGCTCAAAGCCCCACGGCATTAGCATTAACTTCTCTTTACAGAAGTCATGACCTGGCTACTAAAAGAAAGCTGACAGACGCACCACTCTACATGAGGAAGTATTGGTAGTAGTTTGGGATAACTCTGTCATGATTTCTAGAAATATATTTTATGTCTTTTAAGTGTATTTCGTGTGCTTTGAGCACCACAAGGCAAATGCCATTGAGAAGGCAGACATTTCTACACACCTCAAAAACTGGACAAGACGTGCCAAAACAATCTATATGACTAAATGGCATTAAAGGTTCTGATTGATTTTGGGGTGAACTGTCCCTTTAAATTTAAATAATGAATGCAGGATATTCTGTGTTTCCATTTTGAGGTTCAGAAGATCAAACCTGACGTCCTTTTTTTGTCCTGCTCAGTTTTTACATGTTATTGTAACCAGGCTTTAATGTTTTGTTCATCTGAGGGCACAGGGTGGGTTGTTGTGAAAGATTTCCTCACCTCCTCTCTTCTTCCATCTCTGCGGGACAGGAAGTGGAAAGGCTGAGCTCAGAGCTGGTTGGCTGTCGGCAGCATCTGGAGGCGGTCCAAAAGGATGGGAGCCAATGGCAGGCCGAAGCCCTGAGCCTAGCAGAACAGCTGGCAAATGCCCAGCGCCAACTGCACCTCACCAGGTAGTACCTAATCCTATTATACATGCCACCACACTCACACACACACAGTGCTCCCCTCTGTCCAGCTCCTGCCCAGCTCAGCCCAGTCCAGTCCAGTTCAGATCAGCACACCAACTGTACCGCACCAGGTAACAGCTAATCCTATTATACAAACCACACACACATAAACACACATGCGCGCCGCTGTGCCATGGTCCCGATACCAACTGGACCTCACTAGGTCACCTCTAATCCTGTTAAGCATGCCACAACATAATGCAACACAACACACACACACACACACACTGCCCACTCTGTGCCACCAGGCCAGTGCCCAGCCCAGCAACAGCTCCAACAGAGCCAAAATGGCGCCTGAGCCTTTCTTCTGTCCCTGGCGCGCACACACACACACACACACACACACACACACACACACACACACACACACACACACACACAACAGTGCGGCTGATGGTCACTGGACAGCCTGGCCTCAGTGCCACCTGCCAGTGCCCTGCACCCGTCCTCACAACGGGCACTACCGGCACCCCTCCATTATCTTTCTATTTATTTTTGCACCATTCTGTCCTGTTTTTTCCAGCATCTCTATATCAAGACCTCTGATATTCTTTATGATTTCATCCCACCTATTTGGGCATAGATTCATATTTACTGCCACCTGCTCTTTTGTCCTTATCTGGCCTTTCTGTCTCCTCTTTAATTGAAACTAATCTCCCCTGTAACGTTATCCTATCGCCGTCCTCCCTTTGACGTTATTCTTTCTTTCCTTTCTTACTACGGTCTTGTCTTTTTCTTCCCTCTGTCCCTCCTGTCATCCTCTGGCTGCTTTTTCCTTCCACACCATTCACCGCCAAGGCCACGCCAGCCAATGCCAGCCGCTCAGGGCACTCTCTCACCCCCGCTGCCCACAGCCGAGGTGTTTGAGATGGGCACAGATGTGGCGGCGGTGTCCCGTGGTGCTGGAGGCTGCGGGATGCAAGTTTGTGCAATCTAAGTGTGTATATGTGTGTCTGGTTTAAGTGTGTGTGTCCACTGCTGCTTCTGGCTCTGATCTGTGTTTAAGTGTGTTTGTCTGTCAGCTGGCCAGCATTTACACACTGGTTTCATGACTGGCTGCTGTGTGTTTTTTGTTTTTTTTAAAAAGATGATGTAATGAGCGTGTGTGCGTGCGTGCACACATGTGTGCATTTTGCAGCCAGCTGTGGAGAATGACATGCATATTAATGTGGCTACATGATGACTTTGACCTGTACTAGAGGAGCTACTGGACGAAACCATTTTACTGCCATGTGTGCGCCTGTATGTGCATGAGAGAGTTTATAGTTTTATCTGTCCTCAGTTGCATACTAGATGTTTGACAGCTGTTGACTTGGCTAAGCATGTAGCCATTCAGATTCAATTTTGGTCATTAGCAGTGAAAACCACTTCTGATAGAGATTTAATATGGCTGCTTCTTTTTTTTAAACAGTTTTAGATGAGAAGAAGTCTTAATTTTTTGCACACAGTAACACCTTTAGTCACATTTAAAGGCAAAAGAGTATAAGAGTATAAAAATGATTAATACCCATAACCGCCCCTGGTTTTAAGCTTGGATGGTTCCATAATAGTGCGGTGGTTTGCACATTTTTCTGACAGCTGAAAGATTCCTGGTTTGACGCTGAAAGGAGACACAATGAAACCTGTGGAGCTACCTGCTATGACGACTCTCCCGTGACTAAGGCAGCAGCTGAAAGTTGCTTTTTATAGCAGCTGGCTGACAGTTGATTTCCACTTACTTACTGCCGTAAATCTTTGTTGATTCTACAATGTAACCAATGCAAGTGGCCTTCTGCAATGTGTTTATTATCTTGTGGTTGTGGCTCAGTGTTTTAAATGCAGTGCTACCCAAAAATCCTGGGAGATTTTCTCCTTTTTTTGTACATTCCCACTCCCAATAGTTTGGCAGTCTCCCCTCAAGAATTTGACCACATCTGTAAGTACTAATATTAAGGCTATGATTGTAATTTCTCATGTTTAGATGATAATTCTTCTTCTTTCTCTGATTCATTCAGAAACTGCAGTGAAAAATAGCTAGAAACACACACAGGAGGAACACACCTAATAGGCCAATCACAATAGCTGCAGGCTGGGTCGATGTGACGTCTAGTTATAGTTCCATGGAGGTGCATGTCAGGTTAAGGCAGGGGTGTCAAACTCAAATACACAGTGGGCCAAAATTCAAAACTGGAACAAAGTCGCAGGCTAACAATAATATTTATTGAAAAAAAAATCTTCCTCCAGATATAAGAATGAATCTTTTCTTATGGACTCAAATAAGTTTTGCTGGAAAACTGAATATGGAACAAGCAAAGCTTAATACTAAACAATATATATATTAGCTGTATAATACCAGTAGGCCAGCTCTAATAGTAATTTGGTATGGCTTCGCGGGCCAAATGTAATTAGGCTGCGGGCCAAATTTGGCCCGCGGGCCAGAGTTTGACACCTATGGGTTAAGGCGTAGTTTAAATTGTAGTTTTTCAGATGTTTCTGCAGTTACAATTTCCTAACACAGAGGTATCAATCCACCACGAGTTGTTGTGCTGTTACAGTAAATGTTGGACACCGTTTGACTGTACAGACTAAAGGTTTGTCCGTCTGAGATGCACTTTAAAGCAGTTTCAACTCATTACTTTTGATATTTGGTTAATCATTACTCTGAGCTCTGAAGGAAAAAGTCTGCCGAGGACACACAGAAAGCTGTCCAGCAGGCCTGTTTCCAAAAAGCAGTTTTCTTAGAAGTGTGCAAAGTCTTAACATCCATACATGGATATGGGATCTCTGTTGATTTAACTGCTTTAGAGAATGGTATATTTCACTCACATCTTAAAGATTCATCAAATTTGTGATGGTAAAAACCAAGTCTTAGCGGTGCAATGGCTCTGCACAAAAATGTATCCATGCAAAGATGGTAGCATACATGCATCGTACACACCTGTTGAAGTTTGGTCAAAGCCTTTGTCCCTCCTCAGCACTGCATTATGTTTGTTTTTTTCTTCCCCCCCTTTTACTTGTCATGTCCTCATCGCTTTTTTCTTTTGCCATTTCAAAATGAAACAAATAAACCTCAAGCGATTGTGTCTCTCTGCTCTTTCACTAGCTCTGTGTCATTCTCTTTCTGTCCATCTGTGGGCCTTCAGGGGTTATGCAGAGCTACATGTATTTCATTCATAGTCATGCCCTCTGCTGTTGTTCGCTACAGAGCCATCCAAGAGTCTTTGTAGCTTTACTGGGCTGTGTTTTTGTTGGTGTGTGTGTGTGTCTGTGTGTGTTGTTGGAGAGTAAGAGGAGAGGGTGAGATTCACGGTAGCAAGGCTGGAAGGCATTTATATGGCCAGCCTTCGAAGGCAGCTCTTTGATTTTTCTCTTTGCAACTTGCTCGCTCCTCTCTTTCATTCGGTCCACCTCTCGTGGCACAAAATGATCACAGCTCGCCTTCAAACAGGGGGGACATGAAGCGCAGACAGCTTCTGTTTGATTTCTGATAGCCCTACCTTCCTTCCTGATAAACACATACATATAATATGGACACACACTCACACACATATTTGTTTGTACAACGGCATCTTTGCAAACGTGCACGCCGATATTCACATCAGTCTAACCCACATGCCTGTACACAAAGACGCAAACACACGCGCTCACACACAGATGCAAGCACGCATCCGGGGGTCCCATGGCGGCTGGTGCGCTGCGCTGTGCTCCAGGATTGGATCATCAGCCAGCTGTGAGTTGGACAGCCCAGGATCTGTCCTAATCCCCGCCACTCTGTTCACATCGCCTCACATGCGCACACACACTCTCCAGTCCCGGCCCCAACCCAGCAGAGGGCTTTACTAAGTTTGTTTTGTTTGTTTGCTCCTGCCTTTCTTCACTTTCTTTCTTTTCTTCTTTCCATGTCTCCATCCGGCCTCATCTCTCCCCGTGTTGTGATCACACATCCCAAAGGCCATAGTGAAAACTGCCCAGCATAACTTCTCTTTCAACACACGCCAGATAGGACTGAGATGTGTGTTTGCATGCGTTAGTGTATCCATGGTTAGTTGAGACCTGTGGGCCTGCATTGTGTTTGAGCCGAGATGAATGTCTGAGGCTCCAGATCTTCCACCGGTTTTGTTATCCCCATGAAATCAAGCATCCATGTTCATTAGGGTGCTTGCTTAGAGATGTAGATGGACCTGGAGCTTCAAACTGCTTCTGTGAATAAGTTTACTTGCGCTCAGTTTTTCCACCTAAAACTTCTGAGTGTGGAGTCTTCAGCCAGAAAATATCTGAACATGCTGGTCCATATAATCTGTGCCTGTATGTGACAAACACCTGAAGAACGAGTCTTCAGTTGAAATTGTCCTGGCAGCAAATTTGCCGAGGAGGCTGAATAAACCTCTTATGAGAAAATCTGCAGTGATGATTATCTGTGAATATCTGGTTAAAAATCCTATCAGCAAATGTTCATCTTTATGCATTTGGGGTCACAGATTCCAAAGGTTGATACTGGATAATGCAGAGCGGGCTGTGAGATGGGGAAGGTCTTTTGGGTTTGGATCAGCGTGTCCTGATCTGTTCTTTGGCAGTTGTGCTAAGTGCACCCACTGCAGCAGTATTGCATGCTAACAGTCCTATTTGAAAGAGTCAAATGTTTATGACCCAGGAGGCCACAGTTTGCCTTCCATTAGGACCTTTGTGCTTGGCGCTATGTCTTGTCTTCTCTTAAACTTGCTCCTTCATTTGCTTGTGAGGTTTAGGCCCTTAAAAAGTATTAGATTAGGATTAGCTAGAAAGATTGGTTTAGGTTAAAACATCCCTCTTCAAAATGATGATAAAATGATGCTTATCCCACAAGTCAAGGGATAAGCATGCAGGTGGAATTGAGAACTAATTTTTGTACAGTTAGGTCCATATATATTGGGACACTGACGCAAGTTTAGTTTGGTTTTATTTGTTTGATAAAACATATTACAATT